GGGCTGATCTGAGGTGTGAAGGTGCAGGAATTGGACTGATCTGAGGTGTGAAGGTGCAGGAATTGGACTGATCTGAGGTGTGAAGGTGCAGGAATTGGGGTGATCTGAGGTTTGAAGGTGCAGGAATTGGTCTGATCTAAAGTGTGAAGGTGCAGGTATTGGAGTGATCTGAGGGGTGAAGGTGCAGGAATTGGGGTGATCTGAGGGGTGAAGGTGCAGGAATTGGGGTGATCTGAGGGGTGAAGGTGCAGGAATTGGGGTGATCTGAGGGGTGAAGGTGCAGGAATTGGGGTGATCTGAGGGGTGAAGGTGCAGGAATTGGGGTGATCTGAGGGGTGAAGGTGCAGGAATTGGGGTGATCTGAGGGGTGAAGGTGCAGGAATTGGGGTGATCTGAGGGGTGAAGGTGCAGGAATTGGGGTGATCTGAGGGGTGAAGGTGCAGGAATTGGGGTGATCTGAGGGGTGAAGGTGCAGGAATTGGGGTGATCTGAGGGGTGAAGGTGCAGGAATTGGGGTGATCTGAGGGGTGAAGGTGCAGGAATTGGGGTGATCTGAGGGGTGAAGGTGCAGGAATTGGGGTGATCTGAGGTGTGAAGGTGCAGGAATTGGAGTGATCTGAGGTGTGAAGGTGCAGGAATTGGACTGATCTGAGATGTGAATGTGCCGGAATTGGGCTGATCTGAGGTGTGAAGGTGCAGGAATTGGAGTGATCTGAGGTGTGAAGGTGCAGGAATTGGGGCTAATCTGAGATGTGAAGGAGCAGCATTGAGCCAGCTTCCCAGCCAATAGGCGGCGAGCCTTGACCAATATTGTTGAAAATCTTGTTTTCAAATGGACTTCCCCAAACAAAAATGATATTCACCATTAGACTTTTATTTGAGAAAACTTTTCCATCCTGGTCCTTTGATTTTCGTCACTATGGTCTAAAACAATTGTTGTTAGTTTGACCCCAGTACCTATTAGCAAATCAAACAGAATTCTACTGGTGTATGGCCAACTTTAGAAAGAACAATTTTCTCCAGTCAATCTAATTAGGACTGTTTAGTAATCATACCGTGACCTGAACTTTGTGCACACAAACATTCTGATAGTCTTCGGAAACAGATTCCTCCATATAAAACGATCTTTGATGTACATGCTTGGCTACCCTTAGCTACATTTCTCCTGACATGACAATTATTAAGACTATCACTCCTGGTCAGAACCTTACCTGTCATCCGGAAATGATGGATTGAGGTCATGACCCTGCAGAGTGAAGAACTGAACAACTATATCACACTGGGAGATCTTGGCGTCCAACCTCAGCACCGACTGTGAATACGTCTCCAGTTTTTGAAGTCTTTCCAAGACCCTCTTAGTTTCTTTCTTCTTTGCCAATGTCCTTGGCACATCTACAAAAATTAAATTGAACAGTTTGAATTGTATATACTAATCCTTTGAGACTTGGGATGGCCTCTCATTTCTTTATAAATACATTTGGGATACAGAGGGTAAGGGCTAGCTAGACTGAACACAACACCCTGACCCCATAGGTCTGGGAAGAATTATATGTTCTGCATCCTGTACAGCTAGTGGATAAGATTAAAAAGGATTTATAATCCTCATTTATTTTTAGGCACGCACTGTTCCTCATTTGGGACTAAATCTCTGTCCCTCTTTCCCCCTCAGCTGGCCCTCTTTTTGGTCGGATGTACAGATAACTATAAAAAAGTTCTTTTTAACTACCAAAAATGTTCTTCTGCAATAAAACCTTCATCTCATCTCTTAATTATCTTGTTTGCTATTTCTAAAATTCAATATGAAGGAAGAGTAATTCTGGGTGTAACCGATCATTTTTTTGCCATATAAATTCTTAAGGATCTGCATAACTGGGGAAATGGCACGGCTGTGTCCATAGGCAATATACTGTACATGCCCTTGAAGGTGTCCCTCTTTCTCATCTCAGAATGTAGGGAGTTATGCAAGGGTGTGTATAAAGGCCTCTTGCGTGGTGATTGTTTTTTTACTCTTTCTGTGTAATTTTAGTTAAAAACAGCAGATTTCATGATTTTGAGTGATTTTATTTTAGCAGTTGTTCTTAGTCATGCCGCAAAAGCCAGAAAGCTGCTGTAGACCGACTGCAAATCAATAAATAAAATGCGGTCTTGGAAATGTAAATAAAGTATGTACAAATGTGAACTTTACATAAAAACTTCTTCCAGGTAAATGATGCTACAACAACCTAAATTGTATACTCAAAGTAACTTCAGATGCTGTACATTGTATATAAATAGAAAAGAACTGAAAGGATGACAGCGCCATCTACTGGCAATATTTGTGTATGACAATTTCATTTACTGTATCAGAAAACATATTTAAAGCTTTTACCTCCGTTCCCAATACACAGCATTCAGTGATAGATCAGTCATAAAAAGGACTGTTATTACAATTTACAAATCTGTGTTTTGGAGTCCCTACTTGGCAAAAATAAGGAAAATCCAGTTCATTTTGCAGCCTGCTAAAACCACAAAGGTCTCACTGGATCAGAAAAGCTTTTTGCGTGTCCTTTGTAGACAATGGCAGTGATTGCGGATTAAATAATCTCTCAGTACAGGTTTCTGATAATCAGACTTTAGCCGGAAGACTTTAGCAATCTAGATTAATGTTCCCAAGCAAGGGAGAATTCATCTATTATTCTATATTTGACAGCTAGTATATGCTATAGACTGTACTGCCATTGACAGCTCCAATCCCCATCAGTAGAGAGCCAGTCATCAGTAGTTTACTATCAAATCTCATATGGTCACAATGTCCTAGCTGGCAGGGTGATTACATGAGGTTTGATACAGCAGTATGATACCCTCTCACAGCTCCAGCTTGCACAGTATTCACTTCTGTGTACTCTTCCTGTGCACACAGAAAGAAATACTGTTTTTAAAGAAAACAACATTTTCTTCACTTTTTTCCCACTTTTTTAATATATTTATCAGACAAAAAAAACCTTAAATGTACTCCAAAAAAATGAAGGAAAATTAGTTACAGAGCTATTGTCAAGATACCCAATGAATACTGACGGAGCTTAATTTGCCCTGGGTGTATAGGCGTCAATGACCTTTGATGATGACTGGTAATGAAGGGGTTAAACAAGTGTTTGACTCGTTTGGAATCCTGTTTCCTGAGGGTTGTCTTAGAAATATGACTTCTGTACAGTCTCAATTCACTTTCTATACAGGTGACGGAACAGGGACCTATTAATTACTATCATGGATGAGTACAGGGAGTGCTGTGTCCACTCATGGTCATCTGGATACGGTTGCAGAGGAGGACACTCTGGTATATGATAGAATTCTATGTGTCACTATCATACTTGGTAGGGATGCACCGATACCGATACCAGTATCGGTATCGATACCGAGTATTTGGGTGAGTACTCGTACTCGCCCAAGTGCTCCGATACCTAGCACGATACTTCCTGTATCAGGAAGCCGGGCAGCGCATCATTACACGCTGCCCGGTTTCCAGATTGGCCAGGAAACGGCTCCATGCTCTCTCGTCACTTGTGATGAGAGAGCATGGAGCCGACTTCCCGGCCAACCAGGAAGCCGGGTAGCGTGCAATGACGCGCTGCCCAGCTTACCGATTGGTCAGGAAGCTAGCAAATCCGGAAGCCGGGCGCCGTGTAATGATGCGCTGCCCGGCTTCTTGATACAGGAAGTACTCGTGCTAGGTATCGGAGCATTTGGGCGAGTACGAGTACTCACCCAAATACTCGGTATCGATACCGATAGAAGCCGGCGTCATGCTCCCTCGTCATCTCATGAATCATAATATTAAGAAAGTGACCTTAAAGCATTAGTTTGTATTGCTTTAGAAAAAATGTGACCTGTTCCTTTTAAGAAAAAGTATCGGTAATTGGTATCTGCGAGTACTTGATCAAAAGTATCGGTACTCGTACTCGGTCTTAAAAAAGTGGTATCGGTGCATCCCTAATACTTGGTATTCTCAATGGAGCAATTCCCACCTTTCAGTTTGGGGAGAGTTCTCTCCGACTTATTCACAGCTCCGGCTTCCAGCGGAAATCTCTTCTTGAGATCTCTCTGTGGGCAGAAGACAAAAAAAGAAAATCAATTGCAGCCTATAAATGATGAAAATAAACCTTTCACGAGAGAAGCTTGGAGGCTCCGAGGTCCTAGACCGCACTTTTACTGACAGCTCCAGATCCTAACGCATGATTGGGAATTAGTCTGATTGATTAGTATTGCTTAGAAGTGCAATAATCAAATGGAACCCATCGCACACCTGACCGGACAGAACCCTTCGAGTATCAGGCGGGTGCCAAGCGACAGCAGATGCCTCCTAGTTCCTATAACCACCATTTTACTGACAACTCCCGATCATAACTAACCATTGGGAATTAGTCTGATTAGGTTAGTCTTGCTTAGAAGTGCTTCTCATTGGTCAGTGCAGGCAGGTGACCTTGCTGACCAATGAGTGCTTGCAATTGGCGAGCGAAATTCAAAATCCGTAGCGCAGGGACATACACCTGTACAGGTGGAGGGGAAGGAGCGTTCACCAAAAGGTAAGTATAGCAGGGGGACGACAACAGAATTAAGCGGGTAATTCCATTTTCCCTAATTACTTGGTAAAAAGAACTTACCCGTTAACATGAAACATGGTCACATTCCCCAATCCCCCAACCTCAAAGCACTCCCCATTTAGCTGAATTGTGGGGTACGTTTCTCTGGAGCATCCTGTTCATATTTAAATTTGGCGTGCCCTGCGTTATTCATTCACAGATCCGTTTATTTAAATTTGGCGTGCCTTGCGTCATTCATTCACAGATCCATTCACAGGATGTTTGAATGAAAAAAACTAAAAGTCTCATCTGACACCATGGCAGAGGGACTCATAACTCTGAATGGGGCACAAGTGTGGTGATGCCATCGCACCGAAGGTCTGTACCCTGGCAGAGGCATGGGGCTGCAGGAGCCTGTGCCAGACATCCCAACTCTCCCGGACGCTCCGGGAGTCTCCCGCGGCTATCGGCCGTCCGGGAGAGAAACACTTTGGGGATCCTCTGTTTTTTGTTGTTTTTGTTTTTACATCAGGGCCACCGCCGTCAGCATAGGAATGCATAGCTAGATTCCTATTGGCTATTTCACTAGTTGCAAATTAAAATAGCCAATAGGAATCTAGCTATGTATTCCAATGCTGATTTTTTTTTATTATTCCGACAGCAGCAGCTGTAAGAATACTAAAAAAAACCCCTGCAGATAACAAAGGAGCTATTGCTTCCTGTGCTATCTGTTATAATTTCAGGGGGGTGCTCCCCCCCCCATGGGGAAGCGGGGCGGGGGGGCAGAGGGCACCTCCCTGAAATGAGAAGGGCACCTCCCTGAAACTGCTTTTTTCAGGTTTGGTTTCCTGCTGTGCATAGCACCCACAATCTACCGACGAGGACATTTATCCTCAACTCCTCCATTGAGGGTCCATCGCATCCTATAAAAAGAATGCATAGATGTTTTCTCAATGGACGAGCGACCTGCTTATCACCCGAGTCTCAGTGCTGGACATTCTGCTCTTACATTACTGTACCAAGGTAATAAAACTAGTGCACTAGTCCGTTTTTGGCCGGAGTTCACCTTTTATAGTTCAGCCGCCATCTCCTGCTATGTTGATTGGAAATTTCAGGAGAATGCTGGTAGTGAGGATTAAAGACAATCCTAGACCGGTGGACTATATACTATATACTGCCTCTGCTCCCAAGCTGAACGCCTCCAATGTAAAGAACAGACACATCTAAACTCTGAGATATGACAATTATAAAAACAACCTTACCTGGAATCTCTTAAACTCTACAAAGGTTCGGTATACGAGGACCTTGTTGTGGTCGGACCACAGTACAGAAAACATGTACGCCTGTAAGGGAACAGCAAGCACAGGAAATGTCTGTTATTAAGAGGTAATAGGAATTACATTTCTCATTTTTTTTAAAGCATTTAAACGTGTGAGTATAAAGCACGACTACTACTAAAAGCCAAATCCACCCTTCCCCCCCACATGAGTTATATACACAGTAATCTCTCCACTCACACCTACTGTCATCATTTCTGAGACCTGCGGCAGGACCTTGTACGTCAATGATAACAATTGTTTGTTTTATTTATATTGTATATCTATTTAGCTTTCTTTCTTTCTCGTTTTTCTTTCTTTGTTTCTTTCTTTCTCCCTTTCTCATTTATTTATTTACTTTTCTTTATTAAACTTCTTTATTTTTTATCATTTTGTTTTCTTTATTTCATACTTTTTTGATTGTATTGTGCAGTTTTTCTTTCTTTCTTTCTAATTTATTTATTTACTCTTCTTATTAAATTGATTTATTTTTTAGCATTTTGTTTTCTTTATTTCATACTTTTTTATTGTAATATGCAGTTTTTCTTTCTTTCTTTCTTTCTTTCTTTCTTTCTTTCTTTCTTTCTTTCTTTTTCTTTCTTTCTTTCTCTCTCATTTTTTTTTTACTCTTCTTATTAAATGAATTTATTTTTTATCATTTTGATTTCTTTATTACATACTTTTTTGTTAGTTTTAAGTTGCGTGTTCCAGCAGTAAAGACTTATAAATAGGAATACCACAATTGTAGACCTGAAAAGGCTACTTGCCTGGCTTATTCTGTTGCAAGCATCTTTTGAGTCACTGACCTTGAAAAAGCCTGCAGATCAAAGTCAGTGATCTGTGTATCAATTCCAGGTCAGTGGTGCAGAAAGCATAACAGCCAGGCAATGGGTATTTTCAGAAGCAGCCACAGTCTTCCTACTTCCTCAGTACAGGTTTCCTTGACATATATTCAATTCTGATACAATTCCCAGCCATTATTTCACACTCCTCTGTAGAAAACAGTCAATCATTTTTAGTTATAGAGCCAACGCAAATCCCGCCACCTTCTGAAGATTCTACTCGCCTGGCTATGACACTGACCCGATTTACTAAAAAAGGTAAAACATGTTCACTTTCAATGTTAATCTTCACTTATCTTGCGGAATCAGGTGAAACGAAGTGTAAAAATCTCTTTGCAAAGAACAGCCAATCAGATGCAAGGGAAAAATAAATAAATAAAAATGAAATTAAGAAAGATTTTTATTTCACCAAACTCTTTGCAAAGTGAATTTCCTCTAAGTTTGGTGAATGATGTAATAGCCAATCAGGGGCAAGGAGAATGAAAAAAAAACAAATTATTGGGCATGAATGGAAAAAAAAAAGAAATGATAAGATGGATTTTTCTTGCATGTGATTGGATGACTGAAGTCGGCACAACTTTCCCTCCTTCACCAAACTCTTTGCAAGGTGAATTTTGTTTGATGAATAAAGGAATAGCCAATCAGGTGCAATGAAAATGAAAAAAAAAAATAACATTCTTGAACATGAATAAAAAAAACAATAAAAAAAACAAAGAAAATGATAAAAAGACAGATTTGATTGGATGACTGAAGTCGGCACAACTTTCCCTCATTCAACAAACTCTTTGCAAAGTGAATTTTCCCTAAGTTTGGTGAATACAGCAAAAGCCAATCAGGTGCAAGGAAGATGAAAAAAAATTCTTGCACATGAAAAAAAAAAAGGCAATGATAAAAAGACAGATTTGTCTGGCATGTGATTGGCTGATGGAAGTCGGCACAACTTTCCCTCATTCACCCACTTCACTTTGCAAAGAGTTTGGTGAATGAGGAAAAGTTGTGTCGATGTCACTCATCCAATCATCTGCAAGAAAAATCTTTTTTCATTTCTTCTTTTTTTTAATCATTTTTTTTCCTTGCACCTGATTGGCTGTTCTTTGCTTGTGCTGAAGGCTCCGTTCACACATAGCGTTTTGAATTAAGAGTGGTTTTCCACACGAAAACTTGCTCATTTTAACATATACGTGCGGTTTCCACACGTTTGTGGCTACTATATAGGGGAAACGTGCGGGAGGTCGCCCAGAATACCACACTTGCAATTTTTTGCGTGATGCGCGTTTTCCTGCCGTGCGTACGACGCCCAGGTGTGAACAGGCTACATTACAATGTATTCATTTTTGTGTTTTGCGTGGCAAAACGCTAATGTGTGAATGGAGCCTTAACTACAAATCCCAACATGCTCTGCCTCTGGGAGTCATGCCTGTAACTGTCAGTCTTGCAATGCCTCATGGGACTTGTAGTTCTACAACATCTGAAAAGCCGGAGTTGCTCACCCCTACCCTATAGAAAAATGAGCAGTTAACCCTTGCAGGGCGGTGGGAAGCCTCACTGCAAGGGTTAATTTAAAAAAAAAACTGAAGTCTTTATTTGAACGTCATTCTTAGTAATTGGCACCGTTTTTGAAGCAAGAGGCTAAACTTGACATCCAGGAAACTAGCATTTGCAGAAGGAGAAGTAGCAACAACAGCCAGTCAAGACAGGTTTACTTTAACAGTCATTAGTGCACAGTTGTGGCAGTTGCTGAACTCACATTCTGCTTTGCATGCTGCAGCAGTCCGATGGCTTCCACCTCCACAGGATGCCGATTGATGCTGCTCTGCTTCATGCTTCCGAGGATGCTGCGAGGACTCTGCGAGGCTGATGCTGAGCTCAACCTGTCCTACCAGCTTGATTATCTACCTGCCAGGGGGGGGCGTGACCTCCACTCCAGCAGCCAATCAGGGGGCGCTTTCTCTTATTACATTCCATGCAGCCTTGTGCAACAATTTCTGGTCCTTTCAAAGATAGAGGAAAAGAACATATTTAGACTTTGTCCTTCCTGTCTGCACACCTGGGGATCATCACACCCTCCATCTCCCGGTCACTGATGAATTCACAAGCAAAGAGGAAGGTTGTTAAAGGGTTACTCCACCTAGTTGTGATGTTTTTAGCTATGGATGAGGTCTGGTGGGAGGAATACGCTGCAGGCTTCTTGTATATCATGGGGGGGACTACTATGGAAGATGTCACTGCCACAGACTTCAGTCCACTTTGAGGTCTCACGCTTGGTGCTGCAGCAGGGGGTGTCAAAATAATATCAAAACAAAATCAATACGTGTTAAAGTTCATGAAATATATGTATATATATATATTGTGAGTTCCAATCTGTGCTCTCCCTTTGATTCCAATCCGCGCACTCCCTTTGATTCCAATCCGCGCTCTCCCTTTCATTCCAATCCGCGCTCTCCCTTTCATTCCAAGCTGTGCTCTCCCTTTCATTCCAATCCGCGCTCTCCCTTTCATTCCAAGCTGTGCTCTCCCTTTCATTCCAATCCGCGCTCTCCCTTTCATTCCAATCTGTGCTCTCCCTTCTGTGTAATTATATATTGTGAGTTCTTTTATTCCAATCCACGCTCTCCCTTCTGTGTAATTAGTCGCTATCTCCCCCCCTCTATGCAACAAACAAACTCAACAGATCCATAAAACAAAGTTATTGTCAAAGTGAAGGATCAGAAAAAAATTAAATTTATAGGAAGTGCTAGAATTCATACATTTATTGATTTTGTTTTGGATATAAGTTTTATCAATTTACACTCTGAGCTATAATATCATTCACACTATATTGCCAAAAGTATTGGGACACCCCTCCAAATCATTGGATTCAAGTGTTCCATGACATTTCCTTGCTACTAAATATTCCGCGGTCACCTGTTAGTGATATTACAACAAAGTGGAAGCAACTGGGAACAAACATCAACTCAGCCACGAAGTGGTAGGCCACGTAAAATGACAGAGCGGGGTCAGCGCATGCTGAAGCGCACAGTGCGCAGAAGTCGCCAACTGTCTGCAGTGCTAATAGCTACAGATCTCCAAACTTCGCGCGGCCTTCAGATTGGCACAACAACAGTGCGTAGAGAGCCTCATGGAATGGGTTTCCATGGCCGAGCAGCTGCATCCAAGCCTTACATCACCAAGTGCAATGCAAAGCGTGGGATGCCGTGGTGTAAATATTGTGAGTTCCAATCTGTGCTCTCCCTTTGATTCCAATCCGCGCACTCCCTTTGATTCCAATCCGCGCTCTCCCTTTCATTCCAATCCGCGCTCTCCCTTTCATTCCAATCCGCGCTCTCCCTTTCATTCCAAGCTGTGCTCTCCCTTTCATTCCAATCCGCGCTCTCCCTTTCATTCCAATCTGTGCTCTCCCTTCTGTGTAATTATATATTGTGAGTTCTTTTATTCCAATCCACGCTCTCCCTTCTGTGTAATTAGTCGCTATCTCCCCCCCTCTATGCAACAAACAAACTCAACAGATCCATAAAACAAAGTTATTGTCAAAGTGAAGGATCAGAAAAAAATTAAATTTATAGGAAGTGCTAGAATTCATACATTTATTGATTTTGTTTTGGATATAAGTTTTATCAATTTACACTCTGAGCTATAATATCATTCACACTATATTGCCAAAAGTATTGGGACACCCCTCCAAATCATTGGATTCAAGTGTTCCATGACATTTCCTTGCTACTAAATATTCCGCGGTCACCTGTTAGTGATATTACAACAAAGTGGAAGCAACTGGGAACAAACATCAACTCAGCCACGAAGTGGTAGGCCACGTAAAATGACAGAGCGGGGTCAGCGCATGCTGAAGCGCACAGTGCGCAGAAGTCGCCAACTGTCTGCAGTGCTAATAGCTACAGATCTCCAAACTTCGCGCGGCCTTCAGATTGGCACAACAACAGTGCGTAGAGAGCCTCATGGAATGGGTTTCCATGGCCGAGCAGCTGCATCCAAGCCTTACATCACCAAGTGCAATGCAAAGCGTGGGATGCCGTGGTGTAAAGCACGCCGCCACTGGACTCTAGAGAAGTGGAGACGTGTTCTGTGGAGTGACCAATCACGCTTCTCTGTCTGGCAATCCGATGGATGTGTCTGGGTTTGGCGGTTGCCAGGAGAACGGTACGTGCCTGACTGCATTGTGCCAAGTGTAAAGTTTGGTGGAGGGGGGATTATGGGGTGGGGGTGTTTTTCAGGGGTTGGGCTTGGCCCCTTAGTTCCAGTGAAAAGAACTCTTAAGGCATCAGCATACCAAGACATTTTGGACAATTTCATGCTTCCATCACATCAGAGTCACATGATGTGCTCTACCTCTTCTGTCTTCTCCTGGTGGGTGGTCTTGATTACATCAGTGACACTTTCTGCATCACTACACTGTCAGTGCAGGGCTCCAGGCTGAGGGGGTAAGGCCATGAAATCCTGCAACCTTCCCTCAGTCTTCCCGCGATTTTCACATTTCTAAAAAGCAAATGTAAACTTATTTCTAGATGGTACAGGGGCCCGATGGGACCTCCAGACTCCACTCCTCTGTTGGATCAGCTCCAGGAATTTATAACATCTTGTGGTCATAATTGCTAATCAACCTTACTGGAATCAGATTATTACTCGTATCCCGCCCCCCGGACCGTTAGAACTTCCATCAGTAATGCCACATTGACTAAGTATGGCCAAAAGCCTGATCCCCAAATACAGGAAAACCTCCAAACTGATCAGAAGTGCATTGATGGACAGAGACACTATTCCCGAACCCCTCTTATTGTCTATGTGGTTTTGAATACTATTGCTTAAATGTGACCATTATTGCATCATAGCGTCTTTTATGTGTTAAATGAACTGCATTTTTTTCTTGTACAGTCCTGCGGACTTTCCCAGGCAGGCTGTATTTGCATGTAGACTGCCCTAGGTAACACCGACAGGTGATGCTGAGCCTCTGTGATTGATTGATTGATTGATTGAATGAATGAAATGGATGCGCCAGTCAGTCTGGGAAGGAAAGAGCTAGATACTGAGCGTCCTCCAGCCAGGAAATGAAGCGGGCTCTGTCTGACTTGCTGCAGCTTCTAATGCACATTTCGGGAAGCTCTCAGTGTGTGGTGAAATCAGAGGAAGACATTTCAGTCCAGAAGAGGAGCCGGTAACTGTGCAAGACTGAAGGGAAGGCCGGAGTTCAACAGTTTTCAATGCCCCCTATAACTAGAGTTGCCACCTGTCCCGGATTCAGCTGGACAGTCCGGGTATTTGAGTCCTGTATGTGCTGTGTCTGGGTTTTCAGCTGGCCTGAAACTCGGAAACAGCACATCCAGGACTCAAAAATCCGGACTGTCCAGGTGAATCCGGACAGGTGGCAACCATACCTATAACACCATACCTATAACTGTGAGACTGTAAGCCCTCAGGGGCAGGGCCCTCCTTGCCACCTTGTCTTGAATTGTATTGTGATTGTAATGTCTTCCTTATATTGTAAAGCGCTGCACAAACTGTTGGCGCTATATAAACCCTGTATAATAATAATAACAAAGCAAATCTTCACTTTTGTTCAAGTTCTATTCCAATTCAGTCTCTCGTGACAACAATTCATTCGAGAAAGAAAGAAACGAGAGTAGAGAGAAAGAAAGCTAAATAAATAAGAAAATACAAAAAAAGAAATGAAACAGAAACAATTGTTATCATTGACGTAGAAGGTCCTGCCTTGCTGCCACAGGTCTCAGAAATGATGACAGTAGGTGTGAGTGGAGAGATTACTGTGTATATAACTCATGTGGGGGGGAAGGGTGGATTTGGCTTTTAGTAGTAGTCGTGCTTTATACTCACACACTTTAAATGCTTTAAAAAAAAGTAAAAATGTAATTCCTATTACCTCTTAATAACAGACATTTCCTGTGCTTGCTGTTCCCTTACAGGCGTACATGTTTTCTGTACTGTGGTCCGACCACAACAAGGTCCTCGTATACCGAACCTTTCACCACAGTTCATGACCAGACTGAAATGCATATCTGCAGTAGAGAACAGACAGGTCACCAGCTTGGCCATGCTGCCCACCAGAGCTGCATATATATCAGGACTGGGTGGAGGGAAATGGAAATCCTTCAGCAAGCAAAACAAGTGAGCTGCCCCTGTTGACCTCTCTCTGAAAATGCATGTTTCCTGGCTGTCCTCTCCCTTTTCCTGCAATAAAGTTCTCAGACTGACCTGGAAGAGCTGTACAAGTCAGGAGTTGCGTCTTCACTTGCTGCATGCTTGTTCCAGCCAGTGAGTTAAAGAAAAAATGTACTGCAAACTTCAAAATGGAAAAGAGAAAGAGAGAGGAGAGAGAGACAGAAAGAAAGAAACAAGAGTAGAGAGAAAGAAAGAAAGAAACGAGAGTAGAGAGAAAAAAAAAAGAAGGGTGGCAGAAAGAAAGAGAGAGTGCTATAATATAATTAAGGAGGAAATCCCCAGAAATGAACCCTTGCAGTGGAGCTACCCTGCACTGCAAGGGTTAAGTGTTGGTTTGGTCTAGGGGCTCAAATAAAAAAAATATGCTCACCTGATCCTCGGCCCTGCCCAGCAGCTAGACCGGTCCCTGCAGCCTCTCCTCCGCCCAGGCTCCAGTGGTCTAAGGACCCGTGACATCATTCCGTTTAATACAGTCCATTCACCTGCATTACATGTGAGAATGCTGAGGGACATTGCACAGCTGGAGGGAAAGAGTGGTGAGGGCTGACCATCGCATGACCGAGGACCAAGTGAGTATATCTTCTGTATTCCGACCCCTAGAGAAAAAAAAGAGCATTAAATCTTGCAGACCCC